GAAAGACAGATGGCATGTGAATAAATGCTTACATAAAATTATACATTGAGAGAATAATGATAGTAAAATATTCTCTAATTTGGGTTTGTGAAAATGCAACATATTCGAGATTCAAAATAATGAATAAATTTGGTCTTGTTTTACCTTATGTGGACATTTCTTTGTATGAATGGTTGTACTCAAACCAACGGCCATTAGTGGGAGAAGGCTACCAAACCAAATTTAATTTCTTCCATCCTTCTTTATTTAACAATGGGCTTCGAAAACACATGGGTGACCAATTTTCATCTGTGTTGGTTGTTGCTATTGGTTTTGGAAGTGCATGGTGCAGTTCTGGCCATTGTTTAATTTAATTAATTGTGGTAGTGGCAATTCATGTTGTGATGATGAGATTGCAATGTCATCTCTTATAATATGGAAGTGCACAGACTCCCTTAAGACATTGACATTCTTATAGATGGAATACATTTATACAATGGATGTATAAATGTTTGGAATATAAGTTGCTATTCCTTCACTTTGGTCATGATGAATTGGATATTGTTAAAATCAACTCGAGTCCAATAACGAATGGATGGAAATAAGGAAATTATTCCTAACCAGTGGACATATAACGATGCCAATTATTTGATGAAAGTATATGAACTTTCATGAGATTCCTTTGATTGGAATATGAAAATGGCATGGTAAATTACTTGGTTAAAGTTTCATAACTTGTTGAAATTATACTAACTTTGATAAATGTTGATAGCCTTATTTAATTCTATGGAATTAAGTGAGATGATTTAAGTGGATATCATTATTTAGTAATGAGAATTAAGCCACTTAATTATTTGAAATCGTAGAAAATTTTGCATGGAAAGATGTGTCTTTTCATATGAATAATCATGACTTTTGGTATGATTAATTTTCCAATGGGTTTATCTCTTTATAGAGATTAATTCAAAAGGTTTGTCCTTTTGTAGAGTTGTGTCTCTTGAGAACACAACTTTTCAACCGATGGTTGAAATAAAACTATCATGTGAAATGTCACAAGTGTGATAGGTTGCATATGTTTGAAAAAGTTGCAATGCTTAGCCCTCTTTATTATTGAATTGACTTCAATCGTGAGACCAATTAAATTGATTTATGCTTGGAAAGCATTGATGGTCTATATGATGGCCTTAATTTAATTTGGATGATCAAATTAAAATAATTGGATTGAAATACGTTATATACAATTTTAATTGAAATAAATTGTGAGTCAACGACCACTATTTTGAAAGTACTTAGACTTTCATGAAGCACTCAATACGGATATTATCTAAGAGATAAATGAATAGAACTATGAAAATGTTACTGAATCCTAAGTTCAATTGTAACCCAAAGATGTGGGGGTTATCATAAATGCTCGTGAACTTGAATGAAAAGTTTAAAACTTATGGATGCTACGTTACTAGATTACATATGTATTCCTAATTGAGGAATTGTGGGGGTAACTCAGTTTAACAGTTACGTTTGCTTCTATCTTATCATCAAGAACGATATCTATGAAGGTGAAAAAATAGAAAACCATTATATTAATTATAAGGATGATATATATTAAGTCTAAAGTGGATGAAATGGGTTGTAAAGCTGATTATGGCATTTGTTTAGACATGCAAAAACAATTGGAATACATGAGAATATTCATAAAGTTCAAATGCATGGTAATGTTTCAATGATGATATTGAATACCCATAATTCTGAAATCCACTAGTAAAAGTGATTGACTAATGTAGTGTTTAGTAGAAATCCTCCAACCGTGTTTGAAAATTGATAAAGCTTTAGATAAAGCTAATAAAGCATATAGCTTCATGAGAGGATTTCTTGGTAGCGATAATTTGTATCTATCAAATGAATCGATCATTGGCTAGCAATATTTAATAAGATACTAAGTCACATGTAATGGTAGATCTAGACATAAAAGTCATATACATAATACCATTAAGTAGTTGATCTCAATGGTGTAAACTCGTGGTACCTTTAAAAGAGATTTACTAAGAGAAATCAAGAAGACTGCATATCGAAGGGAATAAGATTAAAGCCTACTACGTTAGAGTCCTTGTAATGGTAACCCTACCTTTTTTACTAGAGATCCCAAAATCTTGGTTCAAAGGGACAACTAAGTTATCAGGATTCCATGAAGCACTAAGGAAAATAGTTTCCTAACTCATTCCTATGATATTAAAGTGCTTTCTGCAGAGTTGTAAGAGGTTAAGATAATATTTTAATGATTCATATATCTTGATTAAGTCAAGTGGAGTAGGGCAGAATACTCATAATAGAAGGTCACCTATGTGAGTGTGAAGTGTGGCCACTTCAATGAGAATTATTCAAAGCTTAAATTCTCTAAACACTCGCAGAACCAAGAAGGGTTCAAGGTCAAAATGAACTAAGTCATGAGAACCATGAACGGTTTAGGAAAGACATTGTGTGAGTATCGGTGTTTTGGCTTACACTAAAGGCTGAATGGTTCAAGACATCACGTTCACTAATTAGCCGAGTAAGTCCGATGGTATTTCACTAAGAGAGGTTCAAGGCCAGAAGCTACCTTCCCTGATGCAGTGTTTTTTCGCACCCTCTCTACATTGCATCATATCATCGCATTTGCATATGCGTACCCAATATCCATTCATGTGGGGGATTGTAGGAATTGATTCAAATAATTAACCAAAAATTGGAAAATAAAAAGGTGTGTAAAAGTGAAAAATGAAAAGGTGTGACTACATGTCAATTTCGATCAAATATTCGGACTTGATCCGATGGTCAAATTACAAAATTAAATAGACCAACTTATTCTACTCGTCGAGTAGATCGCCGTGGTATATTTGGAATCTCGAAACCAATTCCGGATGAATGAGAAATTGCGGTCCAAAGTTAGAAGAATGAAGTGTTGTAACTTTTTGAAAGGAAACAGGTTTTGGCCAAGTGTTGCAACTTTTTGAAATGATACATGTTTTGGCCCACACTACTTCATTTTCACCCTTTCTACATCTATAAATAGAACTACATGGACATGGTTTTGAGTACACCAATTGCATTGAGCATTCATTCTCCTCTTGCAATTATCTCCTTTCTAATTCCATAACATTTTCATACATGTCTTTGGTAGAGAAGGAATTTCGTTCGAGTTCGTTGGTCGAAGCCATTTGGAGTGCTCCTATGGCTTGACGTGGTCGTTGTATCTTGGGAGATGATTGTCGAAAAATCGTTAGCACCGATGCGGGGCAAATTCATCTTAAGGACCAAGTGTCAAACACTTGCCTCGACCAAAAATTCATCACTTGCATCTTTCTTCCTACAGTTTTTTGATTTCTTTTGATTATATTTTGATTTCGGGAAATGATTAACATTGTTTACATGTTTATGTTGCAAAGTTTGATCAAAAGAATAATTTACTTTCGTTCAAAATTCGAAAGGGATGAATCTATATCCATGCATTCAGATTCGGTAACTTTTATGTTTTGCTTCTCAAATTCTATTTCAGTAAATTGAAATTACATTTCGGTTACATGCAAATAACCGGTATGCTTTTGTAAATATAATATGCACGTAATCGGTGTAAAATTCCCCAACAACCTGCTTTGTTAAATGAGATGTAGCTGCTATATATGCAAAGATATGGCAGCAAAATTGAGCCACATGACAGATGGTACGCGATGCGTAATCAAGACAACTCTCAAGTAATGCAGTTTTTTAAATAAGATTGTCAAAAATTTCATTGGGGGGTAACAATCCATTTCTCTCTTTCTATGTTGAATCGAAAGGAAAATAGAAGAATGTTAGCGAAACAATAGATCCATTGCCACAGATATCATCTCGAAAATAATACATGGAACTCGGTTGCCCAAATTTCAACCTACGCAGGCCACAAACCCCTATAATTGAACCTTATACAAATTTTAATTAAGTTATTATCTTCTTGATGATAATCCATAATGTTGCACCTAGGAAAATGTGATCGGTTTTTAGAAAGATTAAATTTTTTATTATAATTTGAAAATATTAGGAGTTTAAGCAAACATGTAAGAAAATGTTCAGTTGAGAAGATTAGACAAATATAACATTTTTATTGTATTTCTTCTATATGTAATGTGAGTAGGCGAATAGTTCGACCATACACCTTCGTGTTTGACTCAATAAATCTTTATATACTGCGAGAAGGTAAAAATGGATAAAGAGGTTGGTATAAATTTATTGGTGTGAAATTTTAATTGCCTGTTAAGCAAGGCAATGTAGTTGATTGAACTCGCATAATTATGTACGTTTCTTGTAATCATTTTATAACTATTCTTTTAAGTTTTAACAGCCATCAATATTATGTTCAGAGTTGTCGTTAATTATTTTAAATTGATAAATGATTTTTACTCTTAATGAGATAATTCAATTCAATATGATATTATAACAAACAAAAATGTTTAAGGTTCAAATTTTGTCGCTACATTTATGAAAATTATGTACGCGTGAATCTCGAGAACCTTTCAAAAGAGAAATTGAATTTGACCTCCATATGAGTAAGATTAAATTTGAATTAGGTATTTTCCACTTTTTTTTCTTTCTTTATTAGTCTTCATTTTTTTTTCTACTTTACCATATTGTACAACTTCTTTTGAGACATGACCTATATTTCGGTTTTCTCTTTTTCTTTCTCTTCTCCCAATTGATTAATGCCATTTTATAAATGTTCAGTCACTTGAACTCGAACGTACTAAACATGGACTTTAGTTAATTTTTATTTTATAAATGTATTAAGTAAATTACTATTTATTAATGTCTAATCAAATATAATTAATTGATGTTTGATCGATCTGAAAAAGATTTTATATATCGAGTGAGAATTTACAGTTAACGTCACTCTACACAGTGGCTCATTTGGGCACGTTGATTTTGAAATCCAAATGTTCTTTGAGCTTTTGGACTCATTAAATCACTCATTTGAATTTAATGAGTTGTGTCATTATATTAAGACTCGGTGTTTCATTCTAAAATGCCAACTTATGTTAATGTTTATATATTTAATCGATATGAAATTTTACTTACGAATGTGTGTATGTTTACTTCCAAACAATATTGTCTCCTCATTTATTCATTGGAGATAAAAACTTGATATTATTAGGACGGTGCTTAATTCCCTTATTGAGGAAGCTTGTTGAGCTTACAATAGAAATAATCCTTGAACTTCTTTGTCTTATACTTCGATGGATTCTCTTCGTTAACAAGCTTCGAGATAGGTCCAACCTCATGCTCCGCCGGCGGCTCCAAAAACACCGGCCACGACATCCTCGTCTTCTCCTTGTTCACAGTCGTTCTGTGGAACACGGCCTTGTATTTCCCGTTGCTCATTATCTATCAAAGATCATGAAAAACGAAAATTTTATAAGCTTTTAGTGCACAATATTCTAAAATTCAACTCGCTATGGACTCAAAAAGGTAAATGGTCAATGATCAAATAATAGGGATTAGCCATACCTCAATTTGGTCTCCAATGTGAATGATGAGAGCATTAGGAATGTACTTAACATCATACCAATTATCATCTCTGAACACTTGAAGCCCTTGCACCTCATTGGGGACAAGAATAGTAAGGGTCGACATGTCGGTATGCGCCGCCACTCCGAGAGCCAAATCCGGCCGTGGACATGGCGGATAGTAATTAATCTTCATCATGTAAATCAAGTCGTCCCCACCGGCCGCCGCCTTCATTTCGTGCCCTTCAAGCCCAATCCCTAATGAAAGGTACTTAAACAGCTTGTCCGACACCTCCCGTAGCTTCTCAGCATACTTCTCGTTCGCTTCTCTGAGAAGAATTTTAGTTATAATGTGTATATGTAACAATTTGTCCATTTTTTTCATTAATTAATTAAAATATATCCAAAATTAATTTCTTATTCTCCCTTTGTACACTCCTTCGCTTATTGCATGTTTTTATCTCTTCCAAAAGCAGTTACTATTTCTCATATCTTGAACATCATTTTTGAAAAAGTAAAAGTACTTAAAATTAACTCTAGCCATTGGATTCCATTTTTATTTAAAATGTATTTTTCTCTCTTTTTTTCAGCCACACAATCTCCGATAAAATAATTATATGTAAATTCAAAACTATTCCTTCTTTTTTAATTACACATCTTCAAATTTGATGGAGCCGAAACCGGGGGTAAAATTTATTTAGGGCAACTTTTGCCAAACATGGGCTTCTTCTCAATTATTTGAAGTCCCATGCATAAATTCATTTTTTTACGATAGAGGCCAACGATAGACCCCGAGCATTCATTTTAGTATGCTCAATAAAGAGCAACCCTTCTCTAAATCTCAATTAAAAGGCGTTGAGTTGGAATCATATTCTGATTAGGGATTCTTGTAGTTCCAGAGGAAAACTTGTCCACTTCAGTTAATTAATAGATCTACATGAAAATTAGAACTAGCAATTACAAGATTGTGTTAGGTTTGATCTATCCCTACTCTCTTCTAACATGTTTTATTAAAAGCACGCGACTCATGAGAACAGAAGCATAAGAAGCTCACCTGTAAGAGGGTGGATTCTTAGGCCAATACTTGTAATTAATGGCAGAAGGAGGCCACACCCTATGGAACAAGTGATCCACCCAACCCTTTTTGCCGTCAATTTCTTTTTCTAAACTTGTTCCATATCCTTCAATGCCAGATTCTGGGGTTTTTGCAATAACCTCTTTTTCTTCTTTTGGAAGTTCAAAGAATTTCTTCCCTACTTCAATCAACTTGCTTATGGATTCATCAGGGATTCCATGGTTCACAACTTGGAAAATACCCCAGTTTTTGCTCGACTCTGCGACTAACTCTACGAGCTTTTCTTCGTCAGAATCGCTTAAATCTATCACCGGAACTTCAAGAACCACCCCATGCAAGGTGGTGATTGCTGGCTGTTCATTTTCTGATCTGATGAATTCTGAGGGAATGATGTCTACTTTCTTACAAATAGATGCTACTGCTTGCACTCCATCCACCTCCATTCTTCTTTCTCTCTAGAATTCTCTCTCTGTATGTATAATGTATATGTAGGTATCAATCTTCTCACTTTTCCATTTCCATGAGATTCTTGTTTCCTTTATATAAATGCATTTCATGGAACTGACCATCCTTGTGGGTAGGTACGTTTTGCAAGTCTCACACTTGTGCATCTTACACGTGTGCTAGACCGTTCTAGTCCTTGTTTGATCCTCATTTTTCTTCAAAACGACATTATTTATGTGATGCAATATTTCTTGGAACTGAATCGACTTCTTCATTAATAAAGCAGTACTTACAGCACCAGATATTTTACGTGATGTGCACATTTTATGCGTGCTCATGCCGCTTCAAATATCAAATGTAACACAATTTGAAGTGCAACCAAATACTGCATTTAGCACAAGGAGTAACGAGGTAGGAGAATTTAATGAGAGGTTGTTACGTGGGATTTTGGAATTCACTTGATAGTTCATACCAAACCAATGAAACAATGCATGTAGAACTTGTGACATTTTAGAATCAAAAAGATGAAACTTATTGTCACGATTCTCATTATTGTCTAGCATTAAAAAGATGCTACATGTATAAAAAACATTTATAGGTAGGTTGACAGAATATCACATGGCATTCTATTAATAGATTTTGAATAATGTTATTTGTACATAAAGAATTAAGTAATGATTTACATATAGATGAGATATCAGAAAGAGAATAGAGAAGCTTTTTTTGTTGTTGAAGAAATTATGATTCAATTATATTTTATCACATCACGTGTATATAAAATATTATATAAACTCATTATGTACATGTAGCATAACATTAAGATTCTGTACAAAAAACACAATCATACAGCCAATGAGGTGCTGCCTATTCTTTTTCTCCTTTACAAGTAGTGTAATTGCTAGTATGATGCTTTTACGTTATTAGACATTTGACAAGTTGAGAAGATAGATTGGCATTTTG